TTCTGCCCTAGGCTTGATTATATGGATTAGGCCCTCATCCATCATCTCCTACAAATCAGCCTTTATCTTATCGCAACCTTGTATATCAGTACTACATATACCATAACCAACAAGGTCATGAGTATAGTAACTAAACTCGCAAAGTTCTGCATGCATCTTTACCAAGTCTCCTCTGACCAAGTTGATATCATAAATACGGAAGTCCCCCGGACAACCAGCAACCATGTTGACAATGTCCGGTCCTCCATGCTTTGGTAGAGGATTATCTTTGACATTAGGGTTGATATCCTTAAAGGACAAAAGGCCAAACCTCACCATTTTCTGTAACTTCAATTTCAAGGGATAACAGTTTTCCATATTATGCCCTGGTGCCCCCTAACAGAAAGAGCACGTCTGATATGCCTTATAGTACCAAAGCAAAGGTGAGGGTATGGCAGGGTGTGGTCTAGTATAGATCAATGCTAGGAGTAACTCTGCATAATTTATGGGGATAGAGTCAAAAGCCTCTCTCCTCTAATTCTTCCCTTGATTTCCTTGAGGGGCTGGTCATTGATAAGCGACCGTAGTCAGAGTTGTATTAACAACTGGAGTTACCGAGGCAACATATTGATGACGTTGATGATTTCTCCTAGGAGGATTAACCATTATCTCTTGAATAACAGCATATGTCTCTCCTTCTTTATTTTTAGCAAATCCATATGATGGTTTCTTCACACTTCCAGAATTTTCACTTCTAGTTAGACGACCTTCTCTTACAGCTTCTTCCAAATGGACGCCCATTCCCACCATCTCGGTAAAATCACTGGGTGCACTCCCCACCATTATTTCATAATATAATCCATGTAGGGTCTTCAGAAAAATCTTTGTTCATCTCTTTTTCTTCCATTGGAGGAATCACCTGGGCGGCTACTTCACGTCATCTCTGTGCATATTCCTTAAATGACTCATCGTCCATTGCCCTGAGTTAATCATAGTCATGCGCCATGTCCATATTGTATTTTTACTTTCGGATAAATGCTTCACTCAAGTCATTTAAAAAATGAATATTGGCATTGTCCAGGCTCATGTACCATTTCAACGTTGCACCAGTCAAACTGTCTTGAAAGAAATGAATCAATAAGCGTTGATCATCGATATGAGTAGACATTCTCCTCACATACATCACTAAGTGAGCACGAGGGCAAGTGTTTCCCTTGTACTTTTTGAACTCTGGTACTTTGAACTTTGCAGGTATTTTCACATTTGGAACCAAACACATATCATTCACATTCTGCCCAAACAGTTCTTTTCCTCTGAGGGCCTTCAACTCTTTCCACATCTTATCAAACTGATCTTGAAAATCATCCATCCGATCATAGAAACCCAAGCTTTCACTTGGTACATGAATAGGGCGATACATTTCATCACTAGTAAATGGTACAACTGTCACTGAGGGAGGTGTAGCATAGTGAATCTCATTTCTAACAGCAAGGGTAATATACACCACAGGAGGTGCAGGAGCAGCAGTAACATGAGAAAGAGGAGCAAATTGAGCATCCTGATTAAAAACTTCTGGCATAAAGTTCTTTGGCATTCCCCGGGGATAACCTTGAGGCAAACGATTCTGAACAACAGCATCTAGAGCAGAAACATGAACAGTTGGAGCTTCAGTAGTAACTATTGTCTGTTGAGGCTGAGCAAGTGGTGGCTGATTCTGAGCAGCCACCAAAGATTCAATCAGAGCAATCAGATTGTTCATATGGGCATTCAGAGTAGAAACTTCTTTGTGCAGCTCGCGATTCTCTTTTTCTAGATTATCCATCTTCCTTCTGATTGGCTCGAGTATTTTATTGATGAAACATCGTGCTATATGAAGTAAAGAAGCTCAGTAAGACACCTGGATATGCACAAAAAATTCAAGAAGTATGTACAATATGATACATGATATATAATGCACATGATTTATTTGATTAATATTTCAAGGAACTCAAAGATTTATAGACAATTTTGCAAATACCAAAGTACTAACACATTTGAAATACTGAAAATCTCATTATAATAACTTCAAAATGAATTACAACTTTTCAGTACAAGTTTCAATAATCCCAAGTACAAGATGAAGATAAAGCCTAAAAACCCTATAAAAGCAAAGCTGATAGAGATCACTCTTACGTCGACGCTTTCTTGTGAGTCTTGCAATCTGAGCCTTCAACCTCTGGTTCTCTTCCACATATCTGTTGGCGGTCTATTTCCAATCATCATAGTCGGGAGGTGAGCAACTAAGGCCCGACTGAGGCTTAGAGGAAAATAAATCCTCTTGCCTTTTCATCACCTCTACAGCACGACTCTCAAGAATCTCGATCAGATCATCTTTCTCCTTCAGGTTTTCTCGGTAAGACCCCTCTAAAGTATGACACTTATTCTTCCAAGCTTCCTTTTCTTGCTGCATCCTGACTAAAGCAAGCTGGAGCTCTTCCATATCATCCAATAGGGGAGGAGTGGTCTTCGCAAACATATCAAGAATAGGTGCTTCACGGGAATATGGCATCTTCAATTGGATGGCTCTTGCTTGTACCCACTAAAGATAAGGCTCCAAAGAAATAACCCCTCTAGGTCCCAAGTCTTTCCTACTCTTCCTGTGAATATGACGCCAAGCCTTCACAATCTCCTATTTAGATTCCTTATTAACCTCTCCCTCTTTAAGGAAGAGACCACTCAGGTTAATATTATTTGGCTTATCCCTTATCGAATATCTAAGTTGTCGTCGTGCAAGAACAGGGTTGTAGTTAATTCCTCCCTTTGTACTAAGAAGAGGTACACTGGAGAAACTACCATAACTATCAACAATCTCTACATCATGGTATGCCTGATGATACCGAACAATATCTGAATGAGTGAGGGCCATAATCTTTGGAGCTCAACGAGGTTCCTTCCAGACATCCCAGAAAGCATCAGATCGAGGCAAGTAATAAATAAACCACTGATACAACAAAGGCGTGTAGCATATGATCATCCCTCCATGATAATAATCCCGAAGATGAATAGAGCAATAAGCATCACCCAACAATGTAGGGACTGGATTCTCAAACATGAATATTCTGATGGCATTGATATCCACAAATCTGTCGACATTGGGAAATAACAACAACCCATAAGCAAGTAGAGCAAAGATGGCCTCAAAAGCAACCATACTCTTCATTCTGGAAAAATAGAGAGCTTTCTCCAATAAGAATTGAGCTGGTAATCCCCTAATCCCTCATTTGGTAGTCGTGTGGGATTCAACCTCAGACTTCCCCAAATGGATCAAAGCAGCAATCTCATGGGATTTTGGCTCCCCATCTAAACCAGTAAAAGGAACATGATCGGTAATAGGTAAACCCAGCAGATAAGAATACTCCTCTATTATAGGCATCAACTGATAATCAGGGAAAGTAAAGCATTGATACATCGAATCATAGAATTGGACCAAAGTCAAGAGAATACCCTACTTAATCTTGAGCTTCATAAGAGAAATAATGGACCCATACTTCCTCTGAAAATTTGTAGAACTCTCGACCTCGAGTATCATACTCGTCAGCTCATCTATCTTGGGATCTTTGAAATTATACTTCCGAGTATTTCTTTTTCCACAATCCATGGTCAAAAGTACTTGAGATATTCACAAAGAGTCAACTTTTAAGCCCCTTGTGTCATTCCCCAAATTTGTCCAACCTTTTACTTTTTTCTGGCTTAGACTTCACATTTCATCTACATAATCTTCACTAGTTCATTTTCATATCTTGCATTTCATTGAATAAAGCACTTTGGTTCAAGAAGCGGTATTCGTGCAAGACTAGGGTTTCATGTTGGTTTTGAGGTTCCTTCATCAGTTAAAGGTAGTTTCATCTGGTTCTTAAGTAGTGGACTATGTAGAATTAGGTTTTTGAATTATGGTTATTATGGATTTCTCCGAGATCACTAATGTCTAGGGCTTGTTCAAAGTGTTTCAACAAGTAAATCACGTGAATTGGGGTTTTGGTAACTTGGCTACCTCGAGCATCATGCCTTTAGCATTGTCAAGTAGCATGGGATCTCTTAACTTCTTGGTTGGAAATAGTTAAGATTTTTGGTATACTTAGGTTCAAGATCTTTCTATGTGGATAGTGAATCAAGTTACCTAAGCATTTGTGTTTGTTCATCAGTTCATATAAGGTTTCCTCGAGATATATCATATGGTGCATTGAGATATATTTTCATCAAGTCAAGAGATTTTTGATTCATTGAAGATCGTGATTCATCTATCTGTGAATTAGGGTTTTGATACTCATCATGATTGGGCTTGTAAACATGCATCAACTGAAAGCCATTTGGTTAGGGATTTCATGTCACATATCTCCTCATACTTCAAGTTTTATTCTTGTGATCTTTAAGTCACCAATTCAAGAGTCTGAAGGTTAAATTTATGAACATCGAATCCTGGCACAAGAAATAATGTTGTAGGTTCATTGTAATCAAGGCGTTCTTGTTTCCTCAAGCACTTGTCGTTCTAATGCAAGAAATTTTGGACTTAAATTTGAAGACCAGTTTTGAATTTGGATTCATTCGATTGATTGTTTTGAGATTCACTCAAGTTTTATCCATTCATCATCATTCAATTTATATGAAGCCCACCTTGATTCAAAGTTATTTTCAAAAGTGGCTTGTATCAAGCATATTCATCATCAAAGGAATTTCAATTGAAATTCGGGATTCAAATATCATTCAAGATTCAACCAAAAGTCCAAGACTTATCCAATTTCCATAAAACAAATTCATCATTCATAAATAAAAAGAGATGATATTCAAGTTTCATATTCATTACATTTTGAGCAATTTACAAGGAAATTTACAAAGTTGAAATACAAGTTACAAGTATCTTATTTATAAAGAAAAGATAATTATTTCCTTGCTTCATCTTCAAGCGACTTGTCTCATGTCTTGCTATAACTTCTTCTTCAAGTCTTCGGTCTTTCCTTGCCTTCTTCACCTTCCACCAATGTCACATGAAAATAAACAAGGAGTTGGTTAGAACAATTATCATCAAAACAAGGAAATTTAAACAAGTGTCAAGCAAATTTTCTTCTAATCTCATCATGAGGGTTTGTGTTTGGAATCAGAAATTTAGAGGGTGTTTTCAATCACGTGTTAAGCCCAATTTAAAGCCTCATACAAATCATATTTCTAAATTTTAAATCATGGGCCATGTTCCAATTGAAATCACAAAAGTAAATTTTGGTTCACAAAAAGAAAAGATATTCAAAAACAAGTTTACTGTAGTAACAAGTCAGCCAAAACAGTCCCAAAAATGAAACTTGTTGCCCTACACATTTTCTGCCCAAAACCTGTCCAAACTGTCCAAATATAACAGTCCAAAACTTGCACAAAACTAGCAGGCTAAAAGCAGCAACCAAAAAGAAAACAGCATCAACCAAAAATATAACATCAGCAAGCAAAAAGAAAACAGCAACAGCCAAATAAAAAACCCGCGCCAAAAAGTAAAAACACTTTGATCCGGTCAATGTTTTCAATTATTTTATTTTCTCCCAACAAGAAACAATTATTCACACAAAAACAAAGAGGAAACTATCGTTCATAAACAACCCTTAAACTCTAAGTTTTGTTCATCATTTTCCTAAAAGCAAAAACCCTTCAGAAATATATGAGAAAAGAAGAATGATAGTTCTGCATCACAGACAGAAAAGAGGAAAAGATTAAGATTAGAAAGGCATCACCAAAGCAAAACCATGAAAAAAACTACTATACTATCCAAACCTTGTAGTCCAAACCTGTTGCAAAGAGCCAATTTCCAACCCTTCCAAGTATGCACAAAACAACCCTTATGTCATCCATATTATGCTGCCCATATCACTCCAAAACTTACCAAAACCTGCATACTGCATAACCAGTCAATATCCCTGCATAAACAACCTAAACAACAAGCCAAAATTTTGCATAGTAACCCCCAAATAAAAATGTCTAAATAGCCTTCCGTGTATCAAATAATTTTGCTATAAGCCAACCCTAAACCTGTCCAAAATGGTCCCAAAATAACATCAAAAATAAGAAAACATAAGCTGCCTCAGAAAGTATCAAACCAGTTAGCCACAATTGTTTAAACCGGTCTACTTTTCCCCCCAATTTTCCACCTCTCAGCTGATATAAAACAATAGAATGGGCAGAGAAATAGAGGGAGTTACACAATAAAATACCAACTGCATATAGCCAAAAAACCGAAAGAAACACAGCAGAAATATATTGAAAGAATCTCATAGGAATATACCAGAAAACAGATACAAAAAGTCATTCACAACAACTTCCATCACCCTTGAAAATTCATTATCACTCAACATCCCATCTTACCCAAACCATAACCTAACTTTATTCATATCCCTGCAACTCAACTCTGAACCCCCAATATGCACTTGCCAAAACCCTAGAAAACTTTATACATCCCTCAAAACCTGCAACAAATCTAACAGTAAACGCAAGGTACTTAGATATGCACACAGAATCACAAAGATAAAGGAGAATCAGAGCAAAAGAAGTTCAAACGCCATACCTTAAAATGCATTTGATTTCGTCAATACGGTAAACCGCTAAAACTTTTAAGATTTCAAATTCCGCTTCGTGAAACCTTGTGTCGTTTCCCCGTGTGAATCATCATCGCAACTTATTTCCTGTTTCCTCTCATTTGTAAATTGGTTGTTGTTTATATTTTTGTCTACGATCTATTTAACTTGTTCCACCAAGTTGATCTGAAAAAGAATAATCATAAGAACTGAAGCCGAGAGATGAATAGGGGTTTGTCGTTGCTTTGATTTATAAAGAGGGAACCCGAAGAAAGATGTTGTGCCGTGAGAGCCTAAACGAATTGATGGAGAAAGATGGAAGAAATTAAGACTGAGTGAGGAAAGAGATGTTGTTGATTGGGTTTTCACGAAGCAGAGATGGATGAGACACCGACGGAGAAGAGAGAAGAAAGTGAGTCGAGTTTGTGAGCAAAGGAGAGTGAGAGAGATTAAGGTGGAGACGTTTGGGAAGGTTGAAGGAAGAAGATGATGGCCACTATGGTTTGAGAAAGAAAGAACAGAGAGAAGAAATGCATGAAGGAAGAAGAGAAAGACTGTGAGCTTTGAGAAGAAAGTGGATGGCTTCTTGTTTTAATTAGGTTAATTGAAAAATTTTAATTGAAAATCTATTCCTCTTTCCTGTATAGTAACCAGCAGCCACCCTTTCCTTGTTTAGGGTTTGCAACAAAATTGCACTTCTCTCATGGGCCTTGTCCTTAAGCCCGTCCGCCCCATTTCAATTTAGGTCCAATTTTGTTTTTTGGCAAATCACCCATCATGTTTTATTTTTCCCACAAATGATTAAAAACCTTGTTGGCCCGGACACATACAAGCCCGACTAGATTTCTAGCAATCTCCCCATAATTCTGCTTCAAACCCCCTTTGTTTATCATTGCAATTTCTATTTGGTTTGATGGTTTAGAATAGAATTTTTAAATTTTTTTTACATTTCTTTACATGAAATTAATAAATATATTTAGAATTAGATTTTAATTTTCTTTTATTTATTTTCTTTAATTAAAAATCACAAAAATATATTAGAAGTAGGTATTAATTTACTTTTAAATTTATTACTTGATAAAAATCATAAAAATATTTAGAATTTAAGTTTCTTTATTCATTTTCTTGTTCAAATCTTGATACCATACTCCCTTAGGTAACTCCATGAGGCAATTAAATCCCGTTTTGATCGTCTTATGTTGAGGTAGACTTTTAGCCTATCAAGTACATAATAACATTAGGGTAGACTTCCCCCTCTAGATTTTTATTTTGTAATTAATTAAAACTTCTCATTCACAAACCAAAAAATCCAAAAACATTTAAACATTATTCAAATTCATTTTAAAACTCGCAAAACACTCAACCAATCAAAACTTCCCAAGAGGGCACGTTATCTTCGTTCTACCGCGATACATGTTGTGCCTATTGCTAGAATGCGTGTGTTAATGTCGCCCACTAAAAAACACCAACAAGCCAACATTTTCTAGAAGAACTACGATGTTTGATTCCTTCACTGGCTAAGTAGGAAAATGGTGGCAAGACCCTCACGAACACACTAATAAAAAACCATTTCTTTCCCCTTGGCAAGTATAGTTATAGATAAACACACCCTTAGAAGCAAACAAACAAAATGGATCCTATTGAGTACAATGGATGTGAGGGGTGCTAATACGTTCCCCTTGCACAATCGACTTCCTTACCCTTTCTCTTGGTCGTAAGACCATATTATCCATCCTCTTGTGGTTTTTTATATATTTCCCCTTCCTTCGGGATAAATAATGTTCGGTGGCGGCTCTATTTTTTGCCGGTAGCTTTAGCTGGCGACTCTTCTGGGGATGATGCAAGTCTATCCTAGTTTTGTTTATTTGTTTCTTTGGGTGTTTATTTATTTACTTTATTTTCTTTACTGGTTTATTTATCATTTTATTTTCTTTTATATATATTGCATTGTATTGTTGTTACTCACGTATTCTGGATATGTTGTATCTTTTTTGTGATGTTGGGTTGGGTAATTACATTCGATAAGTCCTATACCCGGACTTGGGGTTACACTTAGGATTAGGATGAGCGGTATAGTCATGCTAACTTTGAGGGAGTAATCCCGAAGAAGGAGGCATGAGATCTCCCACTAAATGGAGGTCCCCTTGAATATAGTGTTGTTTACCAAGTAATCGGGAAAACATTGTTGCTTTTTACCTGGGAACCAGAGAAGCTGAGAGTCGTAGAACCATTAACCTATCCTAGCCTTTTTAGGTGTAGTGCAGAGACTATAACAGAGTAATTCGGAAGTAGTTGTCACGCGATGCGGCACTCGGACGAGTTGTTCTTGCAAATATTATTGATTACCGAGTAATTGGGACGTCAGTAATATCCAAAGGAAGAGCGTAGACTCTGAGGTTTCCCTAGAACCTTGTTCAGAAGGTGATAAACCCCTAGTACATACCTTATGGGTGGTTACTTTGACTTCATTCCTGTGACGTTGGACTTTTTATCACGTTACTTTCAGCTTATGAAAAGGACTACACAGTGGTTATCCAGAATATATGGAGCTGAGATCTCATGCCATAGCATACCATGAAATCATACCATCATGTTTATACATCTCACATATAAGGAATTCCAAAGATAAGTCTCGTTGGTCGAGCTCTTCAAAAATGAAAACAAAAATTTTAAAAGATAGACGAGTCTTTGGATTTCCTCGGAAATGAAGATAAAACATTAATTCATATTATCATGCATTCATTATTTGCAACAAAAACTTATTGGGGTCCCTTTTCCATACGACTTCAGTGAACAGCAAAGACGACTTCTCTACATCCCTACCGTACAAGAAGCAACCAGCAAAGACTTATGGATCTTTTTGAAGAAAATCATAATATTCTCAACCGAGATATGGACACCATGGGCACTCTCATGGATCAGCTTATGGAAACCCTTCATGCTGTTATCAAGGGTCAGGAAGAGTTACATCAATGTGTCGTCAAGCTTGCCACTGCTTCCCCCATCCACTTCTGCAAATGGAGGGAATAATAATGTAAATTTTGTGACCCCTTCTAGAGTTCCTCAGAATGATGTTGATGATCATCACGACATCATTGATCTTGATGAGCTCTGCGTAATCTCGCCGCTGGAGTTGTCGAAAAGGCAAAAATGTACCATACTCTTGAAGATTGTATCAAAGCCATTGAGGGTATCAAGACTTCGGGATTCAATATTGCTGTAATGTGTCTCATTCCTGGGATAGTTATCCCTCCCAAGTTTAAGGTTCCTGATTTTGACAAATACAAATGCGCCTCCTGCCCAGAGACTCATCTTTGTTCCTACTGTCGCAAGATGGCAGCCTATGTTGAAAATGAACCGTTACTCATGCACTTCTTCAAAGATAGCTTGACCGGGACACCATTGGACTGGTATATGTGTGATACGGTGGGAGAACTGACTTGGGTGTTTTACGTTTGATTGTAATTGTTGCAGATATCAAGAGTCGCCACCGACTTTTCTTTTATCCAATAAAGGAAAGGGTGAAAAGAACAGGAAAGACCTTTGAGATATTTTCTTGAGTTCAGGGGGTAGGTTATGAAATGGGAAGGTGTTAGCACCCTTTCCATACGTAGTTATCTACGGGCTCTTAGTAGCTTGCTAGATCACTTGAAAATGCTTTGTTTGAAAATGTGTTTTGTGATGGGTGTAAGTTTGAAAATATTTTGAAAACGCCTTTGTTGCGGCAAACTTTGTAATGATTCTCGTCTCTATAAGAATTTATACAAAGTGTTGATTTTGAAAAATAGTTCAAAGAGATGTTTGTTTTTGAAGATGTTTTGAAAGTGTAAGTGTGGAAATGGTTTTAGTTTGTGAGCAAGAAACTACGAGTGTCGTACCTACTCAAAAGGTCTTTGTTCTTTTCCTCCTCCTTTAGATGTTGCTATCTTACTATTGATTTGGTAATAAACCCCACCGTTGGATGTGAAGGGACAAACGTGGGTCATGTATAGTCATAGAAGGCAACTTATGAGACGTTTTAGCAATTTCCATAAGGGACTAGATTATTTACCGGAGGAAACATCGAGGGACATCGAGGGACTACGATCTTTTTTATCGTGGGTCTTTGCTAAAACGCCCATATTCGAGGGACATGACTATTTTTCGAGGCAACAAGCGAGGTTACCCTAGAGGTGCACGTGTGTGAATAGTGTGTTTGATTGCATGCATTTTTGTCTTTGAAATTAGGGTTTTCTAACGGTTGATTTTATCTTGCCATACACACCCTAATTACTAACAATTTATATAAAAGCGGTAAATTTCAGAAATTAAAATCCTAAGCTATTACATCATTAGGGGATGGGGGATACAAATTTACAAATGGGGATTGCAAGAAATTAAACCTAATCATTTATTACAACCATATTGAATAAATTTACAACAAATGACATGAATATAATGTACAAGGAATATAAAAAAGAAATGGATTTTGTTTTGGATTTTTGTTAGGAAAATTGTTTTGACCTAATTAACCTAAAGGGATATGATTAATAAAAAATAGGAAAATTAATCCTAAGTTAAAAGGAAATCAAATTAATCAAGAAACCATATTTTAGGGTTTTTTAGGAAGGCTTTTGTTTAATTAAAATGAATATGAAAATAAAATATTTTTTGTGATATTTTTATATATTCATAAAATAGACATTGTAAATAAATAGTGTGTAAGAAATCAACTCAAAAGGAGTTGTTTTGATTGGTTGGAAAAAATGTTGAAGTTTGTTAAAAAAAATGAAAATAAACAAGTGATAAAAATTTGTTTTTATCCTTCTAGGGCTTGAACCCAGGTTATCCACACCTTCCATTTAAAACAATACCACTGGGCCAAGGGCACATATTTGAAAACAGACAGGCAGCACTCAATATGTTATAAACCTGCATGTCAGTTTGGTAAAGATGACAAAATAAATACAAAAGGTCTCGTTGGGGCTTGAACTCAGGACCTTATACATAAATTCCTTACACGCGTGTTGTTTATACCATTGGGGTGGTTTGTTTCATCTGTTAGTTATCCAACTTGCACTAAATATAAAATGAACTCATTTCTGAAAACTTGAACATGGCTTCATCTTCATCCTTCGCACGCGCAGGGATGTATATCACCATTGTTAACCTTCTAAAACTTTCATTTCTCATCCAAATCAAAAATTATAAACATCAAACCTGCTCAAAATTTTAGTACGAATCTAACTATGTAATTTTCAAAAGCTATGGATCAGAGGTTTGCACGAATTTTGTTTGGTACCAAAATTAAAACCTAACTGGTCAGAGTTGAAATTATTAAGACACAAGCAATAAAAATAAAAACGAAGAACATGGTCAACTTCCTAGATATGATATCTACATCTTTTCTTTTATTTGTATGTGTTGAAAATGCTTGTATCAAAATATCATAGTTAAGAAATCTCACCTCTTGAAATGAAAATCGAAGGACCTCTATATGAATTCTAGAAATGACTTGATGATGGATTAAGCTTGACTAGACCTCCCTGAAGCTATTCCAATTGTTAGAATGTCTTGTAGCTTGCCCAACTATTCTGGACAAGTCAAATTGC